CGATGTTATGTGATTGAGGGAAAATGGGGAATCTTCAAACTCGGATCTCCTTCTATCAAATCATCAGCTTCTGGTTACATATGTCCATTTTCGGATAAAGATGTAGATAGTAATCACAGCATAGCCGTCTTTAACATAATTAGAAACAATATATTCCAGAAAGACGAGGATTTTCTTTACGTTTGTTACATATCAGAGACCACATGGCTAAAAGAGTATATCTTAAGCATTGATGAAGATCTACAGAACGTATAACGTCTAATGAGGATAACTAATGAGATAACGTGTAGGATATTTCCAGGAATCCATAGTGAAAACTTCTGTGGTAGAAAAAGGATACAAAGGTAGCCAGTAAACTGCTGCTAGAAAAAATATCTCGAAGTGAGAATCATTAACGCCCTTATGTTATGTGGTCATTATATTGTGTATCAAGATAATGACGTTCTCGAGCAGATAACAACCAGGCTGAGGTGAGGTGCAGAACACCTGTACACAAAAAGAGCCTCGGGTAAGTGTAAACTTTCTTTCCAAAATTCAGATAAGACCTTCTACTTAACACTAAGAAACAAGAGCAGTATAAAGTATGAAATGACAAGACGTATTTTCAGACCAAGTTAGGAGCTAAAACACAAGCCAAAATTTCATTAACAGATGAAGCTTACAAACAAACAGACATGTAAACTTTAGTGGCTTTACGGTGACGAAATTATCAATCTTACGGCAACAGAAGTCTCTGATTCTAATTCTGTCACGCAATGAAATCAGAAACTTACAAGCATGAAACACACTTCCACTCTACCACCAAATAACGGTTTGAGGAATATCCATCAACCTCTTGGTTTAGAACTGAGGAAGCCTAGGCTTTTGCGCTCAGTAAAATAATCAGTGCGTGACAACTACCCATACTCATAGTGTTGACTGTCATAACACCGATATCTGACCCATCTAGCCACCAACCAAAATTTCAGCAACTTCCAAGATAATGGACACAGACTTTTTTGTTTCAGTCTTCAGAAGAGAAGAAGGGAAGGACACAACTTGTAACAGACTGGTCGCATTATGGAAGTTACGTGCAATAACTAGATGAGGGAATACGTGGACGCAGACAGTAAACGTCATGAAGTTCAGCACGGACCCAGAAGAAGCAGAGAACAAGCGTTTAGCTGGAAAACCTACTATGATCAAAGATACCGGTCTAAGTAATATTCCTCAACATCGAGAAAGCTCTCAACACGTTACTGCAATAATCTTTTATAATAAAAGTTACTAAGACAAGTTTCACTCACTTACCCCCGTTGTTTTTCTGGGGAACCGGGTGTTCTGCATCAAGATAATTAGAGTGGATGGAAGATGAATTGTTTTGGAACAGGTCATTTCACACGAAACCATTTTAAAACCACTTCTATTCGAAATTTTCATTCATAACTTTCTTAGTAGAAATAATCCAATGTTCCTAATCTGCTCTGAAGATGTGAGGATATAGAGACATATGGAAATATAAGAGGATTCACTCGATTTCTGAAAGGTCCCGAAGATGCCACAAGTTTTCGGAGTTTGACAACGCTTTAACCAGTAACACCTTTCAATATGAATCGTACCTACCAGGTGAAATAAAAAGACAAAAGCGAGGACGTTCGAAGATATATTCGATAGGCTATCAGTATATCGATCTAATCTGGCTAGGGATTGCGAGGATTGATGAGCACGGCATTCACACTCGTGATCTGGTGCGGATGCATGACCGAGTGCCTTCAGCTAGGTGAGTCCATTAAAACTAATATGGTCAGCATCCAAAGTGAAAAACTTACAGAGCTATTTATTTTGGGGGTTTATTTACCGCTACAGTCCTCATAACAAAAGAAGATGAGGTTTTGCTCAGTGTGATAATATGACTCGTGAAATTTTCACATAAAACATTTAGACTCAAGTGTAGGAACTGAATTGCGTTTGTAGTTAAAATCCCTTTCCATTTAACTTCACAAACCACAACCTAGGACCATTAACTACAAGGTGTCTGAAGATCAGTGCGGGCTACACCTAGAAAATTTTCAAATAGAGTGTCATACTTGTAGCGTGGCGTCGAGTCGGGATTGACTATGTACACCGCTACCAAAAAGCTCGTTCCAAATGACTCCATAAAAACCCCGAGAAGCCAAATATCAGAAGGCAGAAAATGGACCAAGTTCGGATTTATTCACTGGCGATCTCGTGGTATCGAAAGGATACCGAGATCGTGCCAGGATACAAGCTTGGTTACAGAAGGTAACCGAATTCGCGCGAAATTGCAATCGAAGTGTAAGAACAAGAATGGAAGCCCAATATAGCTGTCATTAGCACAGTCAAACAAAAGCACATTAAAATAAACACTGGTACAACTGTTTATAATAATAATTGTTTTTATTGAACCAGTCGTGTTCTCGTAATAAACGTGAGTCACTACAGGAGCCCCCCGCTAGAAAGGGTTTACACTTTCGATTAATAGCGGTTTAAATCGTGGGACTGATCGGCTGATGCGCGTTTGTAGGACGACGGATTGGCGAACAGGAAAGCGATTGTTGATCGTCGAGTTGCCAACGAAGGTTATTTTCGGAGAACGGTACCAGAATCGATGTGCTGTACTTGTTGCTTGAGTTGGTATGCTACACGAGTGGTTTGTATCCAGAATCTGAAGATGGCGTTCGTAGGGAATGCGGACCAGAAACGCTGCAGACGTAGGACGAAACCACGTTGAGCCAAAAAACCAAAAGCGACCGCAACGAACAGGTTCGAGACCAAACGTATGCCAAACATTCGAAACCAATATATCGACTGAGTGCGTTGACAAGAGCGTGGGTGGCCAGTCCAGCTTTCGCCAAAGTTGACTGAAGTCGACGGAACCAAACGGAGATGGTCGAAGGCGTGGGCTCAGGAAACAAAAAGAAATCAAAAAAAGAGTGTAGCATGCGTGTAGTATAGGAATAATCCTACACCGTATCGGTTGTTGACTGTGCGGCTAGTCACGAAAGCGTACGGGCTACCGTACTCGGCGACCGGAACGTGAGACAGTAGTCTCGTTCGCGTCGCGTGAGCCTGCAATCTCATCCGAAGTCAAAGGCGGCGTGGTCTGCTGATCTGGACGTGAGACTGTTGTCTCGTCCGTAGACGGTGCAGATGACGCGTGCTGTTGACTGGGACGTGAGAATGAGGCCTCAGATGTATCTAGCGTGAGACCTGAAGATGGTTTGAGGATCCCGCTAGTAGGTTTGATAGGTCTAGCATTGAATATCAGGTTATCAGATAGGGCACTGTCATCGACGTGTGCTGGTTTGAGACGATCAATGCTGACGATTTCGACGCGTCCATATCGATCAACCTTGAAGGTCTTTTCGTGACGAGCGATCACGTGAAAAGAGCCTTCGTAAGGTTGTTGCCAAGGTTTGCGTACCGAATCTACTCGTAAGAAAACATGTGAACAGGCAGATAACTCTCGAGGGAGAGCGACCTGTCGATGTTGTATTTGAGTTGACACCGGAGACAGCGTTCGATAAAATGCAGACAGTCGATGGACGTAGTCTGATTTACCGAAATCAGGTCTGCTCCGTGGTGTGAAGGATTCTCCGGGCAGACGCAATGTCGTGCCGTACACAAGTTCAGCGGCGGAACATTGGATATCTGCCTTTAAGCTCGTTCCGATCCCTAAAATAACGAGCGGTAAGGTTTCGTGCCAGTTGCCGTTTTCGTGTGCTCGTAGAGCACTTTTAAGTGGGCAGTGAAACCGTTCAACTTAACCATTTGGTGCTGGGTGGTAGACGGATATGCTTAAGCGTATGCATTCCGTACCAAGCAGCCGGGTCAGCGAGGAGAATCGAATAAAGCGTGGGATTTACCGTCACGCGAATAAAAAGTGACAAGGATTCGGTACAAATACGTGGGAGTCTATTATATTAATACTATTCTTATCGTTATCCGTCATGTCGAGTATATTATGTATTAAAAGATAATATGAAAATATACGACAGACGTGGATAGATAAATAATAGACTCACCGAACTGGCTTCTTTGGAAGATTTCACCAGAGGTTGAGGCGTGTTCCAAACTTTGGGATCACCAATTGTAGCGTGGCGTCGAGTCGGGATTGACTATGTACACCGCTACCAAAAAGCTCGTTCCAAATGACTCCATAAAAACCCCGAGAAGCCAAATATCAGAAGGCAGAAAATGGACCAAGTTCGGATTTATTCACTGGCGATCTCGTGGTATCGAAAGGATACCGAGATCGTGCCAGGATACAAGCTTGGTTACAGAAGGTAACCGAATTCGCGCGAAATTGCAATCGAAGTGTAAGAACAAGAATGGAAGCCCAATATAGCTGTCATTAGCACAGTCAAACAAAAGCACATTAAAATAAACACTGGTACAACTGTTTATAATAATAATTGTTTTTATTGAACCAGTCGTGTTCTCGTAATAAACGTGAGTCACTACATACTCATGAATAATAGCCCCAATTTCGAATTCCTACACAGTTGATATAACCAGACTAGAAATAGAAGAGACGAGCGGATATACTACTGCCCCTTAGATACTGGAAATGACCCAAGCATGTACCGAAACAACATGAAGCTAACATAGTGTAACCAGATGTTTACATTCACTTATTAAAAACGTACTTCGTTTTGAAAAATTGCAAACAATAGTTTGATGTATTACAAAAGAAAAGACGAAAACGAAACAGTAAAATAAAAAACCAAAGCGACTTCACCAATGAGCTAGTCTCAAACGAAACTACCTAGCAGTTTTTGTTTCTGCACCTGACTCTTTAACTATGTAAATACTAAGACTGGTCAGACGGAACAAATTACTATTGTGCAGGTATTCTGTCGACAGGTATTCATTCAGTTTCTGAAGTGACTAGCCTCACGGTCTGAGGTGAGTAGTCTGGAGGACATAAACACGACAAAGAAAGTGAACTGAAATGTAACAATATATGATGCTGTTGTTTTAATTTGTTTCTATTGACTACACGGAGTTCCCGCTTTATCAAAATGCAAGAAAAATGACGCAACTAGAAGTAGAACCAGTTATTTTAAAAAACTATACGATTGAGAGACGCATAGGAAAAGGGGTTTGTTGCATATAATTTTTCTACTATCTACAGGCTTATGGGATAGTTTGGAAAGCAGTAAATAAGAAAACACATAAAAAATTAGCACTCAAAAAAATATTTGATGCTTTTAGGAACCAAACAGATGCTCAGGTATAAAGCACTATCCTAACCAGTCGTTCAGAGGACGTTTCGAGAAATATCATTCTTACAGCAATTTTCCAATCACCCAAATATCATCCGTCTTTTAAATGTTATAAAAGCGGAGAACGACAAAGATATTTACTTAGTTTTTGAGTACATGGGTAATTAAAACTTTCATTTTTTGATGAAAAACAGAAACTGACTTAAATAACTGCATCAAAAAAGGAAATATTCTGAAAGATGTTCATAAAAGGTTCATTTTTTACCAGTTGTTACGAGCAGTTAAATATATTCATTCCGGGAATGTAATACACCGTGATTTAAAGGTAAGACATTTTCATGATATTTATTCTGTAGGATCGCTTTATATAAGCACACAACACTGATTTTGTCGCCATTTTATTTACTGACACATAACACTTTCTCATCGTGCTGAAACCCACTTTTCCTTCTCAAATTTGTACGAAGCTGTTATTTATGCGTATTTTTGTTGAAAAAACTTTGTGACTTGTAGTCTTGTTGTAGTACAAATCCAAATTAATTTTGTAGAAATTTTCAAAATGTTGGAATCAACTTTTTAAACAAATACATTAAGATGGGCGTAGCGGAGAAATATGACATAATTTCTTTAAAAGTCACTACTTAATGCACGGAATTTTAGAATGCAGTTTTTTTATCTCACAGCTAAGGGATGGAATGCGACCAATGTAATGTAAAAACAAACAACATTTTATTTTGTCTCCTTTTTTCAGAAAGTCCCGCTTATTTAGATTTGAAATAGTTCTGCCCGAATGTTTAAAAACACCGATAACAGTTTCTCTTTTAGAAATTAAGCCAAAGCTGCTTGTTTTCACTAATTTTTTTACACAAAGCACTGGTGATGCTTAATTTCTACAAATTTACTTTTATTTCCTAAAAATAGTCAAAACAAAAACTCGACTGATTAGGTAGTAGTTCATATATCTTAGATAAACCTTAAAGCAAGTCGCTCGAACATATCTTGGCCTAATAAAGGAAAATAAACCGCCTATACAAAAGATTTAGCTCAGCCAGGTTGTGAGACTTGACAATAAATGATAAACTTCGATGCTTTGTTAAAAGCCTTAAAGCGACTCATCGTGATATATATAGTCATAAAGTGAGATATAAACGTTAACTATATAATGTTCAGATAATCTACCTTATATTTCATCTAGGAATGATTTTATTTCAGACAGAAGGTTGCAACTATGTCTAATTTGATTAAACTTTCTAGTTCAGAAAATACAATTGTTTACAACCCGTTTTTTAAATATTTTCCAAACACCATAATGATTCAGTCAAGAATCATGTGAGATACATTCTTGTATATGTCTGAGTGTGTAGATGAAATTCACTTGAAAGTATAATAAAACTGTCTCACATGGAATTAGAACATTGTAATGCTAAATTGAGCGCAAAAGGTTTGAAAACAGCGAAGATACTTTGTAAATCTGAGTATCGATTGACAGTAAATCCTGACTGCTTAAGAAAAAATAAACCTCTCAATTTATACTGATGAAACATTGAAAAAAAATTGTTTATTCAATTAAGTCAACTTATTGCATATACGTCCTGGTATTTAGACAGATGCCTCTAAACAGCATCATTCAAGGTACTTTCCGCAATAAGAACCCTATCAAAAAATTGTTGAGTTTGGTTGTTAACAGTTCCCACGCATATCAAGTGTTGGTTAGCCCTGTTTATATTACTGTGTGATATTTGTAGATCGAAAGTGATGCCCTACATTATAACAGGCCGTTGTTAGCTTTTGCGCTCCGCGGCATTACAGAAAGAGACAATACCAAACCAATTAAATTTGAAAAATGTTAACAAAAGACTGAACACACTCACATCAATGAATGCAATCGTATTTCTTGTTATTTGGGCTTCTTCATGATGGTTATTATTAGGTACTAATAAAGTCCATATGTTTTCACACAGTACAATTTAGAAGCAAATAGCCGATGGTAAATAATTAATGATATGAAACCATAACTGATTGTTTTTACTATTTTAATCTAATTAGCACTTCCTATTCCTTTAATTATTTAATTAAATTGTACAGTTACTTCAATCGGTAACGGTTCCTAATGCTGAAGTTGTTTGCACTGAATGTAACTTCGAGCCAACCGGACCAAAATATAATACTAAACTTTAGTTTCGATGATTGTTTTTGTAGACTGTATTACGCGTTGGTTTTACAATTAGATATTTAGGTCGTAAGAAATAAAAGGACAAGCTAATCTTACTGGTTCAACTTTTTTCTATAATTTACAAATATATCGCCACTCCAACGCTGTTTATTCGTTTTTCTGTGTCTAATCATTTTATTTACCACTCTGTGTTTGTCAGCTTTAATTTCCCTGTGGTGATATTATTATCTTTATTTGTACGAAGTTCTATTTTACCATTTTTATTGATAAATCGTTTTTGATAGCAATCTTATTTCGTTTCTCACTCCATATTATATTTACTTATATTACATCCCATTGTTTATCATTGTGTACAATTTTTTGTATGACCTTGCTAAAGATTCTATTATTTCCATTATTTTATTTATGTTTCTATATGTATTGCGAAAAACTAAGGTTTGTATATGTTTGAGTAAATATGCTCTCTTTACAATTGAACACACCCAAAAGCCAACTTTTTATTTAAATTTTGTCACCCAACATTCCGTTTACTGACCCAGTTATTCTTCACATTGAACATCACATGAAATGGTTTATTCTTCAAAAGTTAAAAGTTATTTATTTATTTATTCTTTAAAACCTTCAATACCCTCCCACAGCAATAATATGTATATGTATAAACTAATAGTAAAAAAATATTTTGTAAATTATTTTAGACTGATAGAATCGTCGAATAATTGACATTTTCTTCCTAATATCTTTCAAAATTTGAAAAAGGAAAGTTTGTTTACCTTAGAGAAAAATTTATGAAACAATCTGCATATTTACGTTCTTGTTCACTCAGAGTGTTGCCTTTTCTCTTGTGTATGTTAAGGCCTACTGATGTAGAGGTTGATATTAGATTGGCTGTATTCACCTGCATTTTTGCTGTGTATGGGACAGGGGCGTGAAGTCCGGATCGTCTAACGACATCTAAGTTGTATATTGTTTTTCGTGCTTTGCCTGAGATGTGGAGGTTTTCGAACTCCAGTCGGCCACCGGAATAAAGAGAAAAGGCGAAAGAAAACATCCTTATCTGACACCGGTCTACACTTAGAATGGATCTGTGAGCTGACTTCCATGCACCATTCTACAGTGTAGTTTGTCGTATGAATTCTGTATGATGTTGATGATATTCTCAGGTACGAAATAGTGTCAAAAGAGATTCGATAAGGTCCTTATATCTATTCTGTGAATACTTTCTTATAGTAAATAAGTCGATGAATAGTGACGATCTCAACAATCATCTGTAGTGTCACGATTTAATCGGTACACTATCAATTCATCCAGCCTCTTGATCTTAAAGTTGGTTGTCTGCTTAATCTTTCATCCAGTTCAGCAACACACTAATGAAAACCTTTCCTGGTACATGCAGTAGTGTGGTTCCTCTGTAATTCCCACACTTACTAAGATCTTTCTTTGGTATCCTGATGATTTATGTTTTGTTCCAGTCTGATGGTAATTGCTCTTCCTCCCAAATTTGCCTTAACAGAACATGAAGCATCTTAGAAGTTACCTCTGTGTCTTAAGTGTCTCGTGTGTTATGTTATATGGTTTTGCTGCTTGCCAACTTGATTTATCTGATGGACGTAGTGATGCCTTCCGGTCGTTTTCCATAGTACTTTCTTATCTGATTCGATCCTGTAAGGCTTGGAGCCTGTTATTGAGAGCTATCTTGAATTCGTTGAGTTTGTCAGTATATTAAAGCAAGGCTGTACTAAACATTTGTAATGCTGCTTTTATTGAGATAGATATGATCGATCAGATTCTCTTTAGTGTAATCCAGTGAGACCCATGCAGATTTGTGTATGTCATTTTGGAAGAATATTGTGCTATCTATAACCATTTTGTTGAATAGACAGATTTGCAAATCTCATTATTCTCATCCCTTTCTCCTAGTCCATGTCGTTTCATGATATCTTCATATCCGGTGTTTTCCATTCATAACTTCGGCGTTTAGATCTCCCATCAGGATGATTAGATCCTTTCCTGAGCACTTCGCCATGATCGACTGAAGCCCCATAAAACGGATCTTTATCGTCGTCGCTGCTATCATTTGTGGGTGCATTAGACTGGATAACATTCATTGTGATTCCCTCCATCTTTGTTTTGAAGGGTGCTTTGATGATCCTGGAATGATGAGATTCCCATCCTATGAGTGCTTTACGTGCTGCTTTCGACAGCATCAGAGCAACTCTGTGTGTGGAGTATTTTCTTCTTGGTGACCAGAGTACACAACACTTCTCTTGAAGCTAATCATTTCTATCCAGCATGGGTCCAATGGGTTTCACTTATTCCGAGAACCGCCAAGTTGTGTCTCTTCATTTCTGTAGCTGTTTGATTGGTTCTTCCGGTCTCCAAGATTGTCCGGACATCCGATGTATTTAATTGTAATTAATTGTCGATCGGTCGTTAGGAGAGATATCGGTCTCGTAAATTCAGAGGAATATCGGCTTTTACCATGAGACGTCATAATTCTCCTAAATGAAGATTCTCCAACTGCCAGGATAGATTTCAAATGGTTTGAATTGTTTTTTCTGGTTAGAGTGATTAAGTAACGTTGTTCTTTATGGAGTGGGATGGCTGACCCCATGCCAGACCCTCCTACTTTACTCGGGCTTGGAACCTGCATTAACTGTAGAATGGCTACGGGATGAGGCAAATAATCTTCATAAAAGTCTGAATCTGTAAAATGTGATCATGATATTCCACTTTCTCTTCCAAATTAGGTGGAATGAGCTATAAAGCTGTAGCTGGATTCGCATACCCATAAATTTAAGTGTTCAAGCATACGATAGAAAAAATGTGAATCTGTAAGTTTGGTCGACACTCTAGTTTCTGACTGGATAGCGTAAGAGTATATTCGGGAAAAAAAATACGAGTAACTGTACCAATTCATTATCTTTAATACCAGATGAAAATTTGGTCCGGCGACGTAATTCATGACCAATAAAAAAAGTATAGATAGGAAATGATTTAGGAGGTCAAATTTCCTCACACATCTTTAAGCCAGATAAATTGTGACGCCTGTTAAAATTAAACAAAGGGGATGTAGAATTGAAAACTATAATAAGTAAAACAAATATATAACAACTTGGAAATTTCGCGAATTGTCAAAAATGGTTCCCATTATAAATCAGTCTCATTCGGGAAACTATAAGTGAAAATTAAATTATCATCGGGAAAGTATCCATCTATTTTCTCGTACTCTTTCGTAAGATATGTTTATTGCCCCCAAAGAGGTTACTTCTAAATCTGGGGTATAAAACTCAATCCATTAATTAAGATTATTTAACAAAATCAGTTTATGATACAGACCTGCTTATTATTTAGCGTTTTTTCGATCATCTAACACTTAACTCTTTATGACTATTTTAATACTATTTCTTGTCACAAAATAAAATATCTACTTATACCCATTAAGATAATTATATAATTTTACTTATAAGTTCTTTTGAAAAGGTTTGCTCGTAACTGCACGGTATAAGTTATGTTGTGCTTATATTATGTTAAAGATTTTCAAATACTAAACAGGATTGTAAATGCCAGTTTGTTCATCAGAAGGGTAAGATATATCTTTTTACCTAAAACTGCTCATCCATTTGATTTAATTATGTCTTAGCTTTCAGACCAGATTTTATGGATATTCAGTTTTCATAGTGTACCATCTTTATAGTTATCGTATAAATTTTTAGATCAGCGGGGTTTAATTCATTTAACTTGATTTTAAGTTACAGAAACCTGTTTGTATTTGAGTTTTAGGTGTCATACCTAATGATACTTTTACATCTAGTCTATCATAAATTTGACTATTCTAAAGGAAAATTATGAGATGCATTCAAACTAAAAGAACGATCAACAGTAGTATTCCAGTATTCAGTTTTGCGTAAACCTACACAAGTGATGATTTGAGTGATCCTGAACCTCATTTGACTGATTAGTGAAGTTGTTGATAATAAGGAATTTATTTTATATCTAATTCTGAATTATGTATATTAAATTTTCTATTCTTATCTAATTCTTGCTCTCTGGTGCAATTTTCTTGTTTCCATTATAAAAGCGACTTTCTATTTTATTTGAAAACGAATGTCTAAACCTGAACTACTGACATATGACATCAGTTTCTCACTTCTTTTCCTAGTGGGACGTTTCGAATATACCATTTTATTCTATTTTTATTTAAGTAACTAAAAGTAAATTAAGATATCACAATGAAGTACTCAAGTTTTAAACATTTTAGATCAAATTTTATTGACTAAATAATTTCCAAAAACAAATTATTCATCATATATTTCATCATTATGTGTAATGAGATAAAACGTTCTAACACTGAATGATCACCATCTGTTGAGAATATTCCACTAGTCAAATTTTGACAATTAGTTTGTGGATATTTTTCTGAGTTGAAGAAAAAACAAGCAGTTACTACTCTATGGGTATCCTGTTACTTTCAGTCAGTGATAAGATTTATTCTGATACTCCTTATTTTATATATTTTTTTCGTTTACATTTATAGCCATCTAATGTTCTGTTAAACTCAGACTGTTTGGTGAAACTATGTGATTTCGGCTTGACACGTTCATTGACAAATACTCTAGAAAATCGTACAGCATCTATGGAATCATTTATAGATGGAAATGATGATTATGACAATCCTGTGTTAACCGAATATGTAGCTACGAGATGGTATCGGGCACCAGAAATTCTGCTAGCTTCAAATCGTTATACTAAATATGTAGATATATGGAGCTTAGGGTGCATATTAGGTGAAATGTTACTTGGTAAAGCATTGTTTCCCGGTACATCAACAATCAATCAAATTGAGAGAATCATATCGGTTATGGAAAGACCGACAATACAAGGTTAGTCCTTCAATATCAGCTTTCCAAACTAAAATATGATTAAGCTAATATGAATGTAAAATGACTACTTTTTAATTGGACGTTATAAATTAGTAAGAGAAAATAGATGATCCAGATATTTATTTAAGAGAAAACTTTTCATCAAAATGTATTTCCCACTTGTGTTTATCGTCAAATTATATATCAGTTTGTGAGAAACATACTTTGACCATCAAAGTTTAAACGCACTTCGAATAAAATATTCTAGTAGTTATATCTCCAAATTTAGCTGGTATTCAATTTTAAATTATGAAAGCACAACCCTTGTCACTAGTGTTGTTTTTGATAGCGAATCGACAGTCACGTGCATGTATCAAACGATACATCGTTTTGAATAGTTTCAGATCTTAACGACACAGTGGAGAAATCGAGCAACATCACACGCGAAAACAAATATATCTAATACAAATTTTTTTTAGAAGCTGGAAAAAGCGAGAGTGGAGCTGTGCTGATTCTGTGGTTTTCATGCAAGTTCATCAAAGTACTTCTCCCCCAATGGTTCCCCTAACTCTTATATCACGGCTAAAAGGCTTGCCGTTTTTTGAAAACCAAAACCGGCTTTTAATAATTATAAAGTCTATCTTTGACCACCCTCAGTCTATTCTCAGTTTCCATTTACTTCGGTCTAAATTGCATAGTGAGATAGATAATGGGTGATCATATGCCTTAAAACCTTGAGTGTAGATAAAGAATTTTGGCTCGCGGTTTGTAATTTATCTCACCCTATTTGTTGTTTGTTAATTATCTTTATCAGTTAATGTACACAATTATTGTTTCAAAATACAGTAATTCTACGTAACATACTCTCCTAGAGTCTGAACACTGAATATTATTCATTCTAAGAATTTCTCAATTTTCTAGCCAAACGCATGAAAGTCTGCTTTAATGAGTCCATATGAGATCAGAAATCTGTTGGAATTAAATAAGATTTTTCAATTAAGGATGTCATTTTAGAATTTAGACACTTAATCATCTGGTATTTAGTTTAACTTTTCAACTGATATTCTTCCAGTTTATCAGGAAAAGTTTGAGTCCTTGTTGATTTCCTTTCCTTCATGAATTTCCAAAAGATGTATAGATTGAACATAAAAGCCATTATCATTGTCAAAAAAGTCATTTCATTCTTGTAACCTAGGATATATGTTTATTTACCCGAATATACCATTTTATTCTATTTTTATTTAAATAACTAAAAGTAAATTGAGATATCACAATGAAGTACTCAAATTTTATTAACTCCCAGGTTGTTAAGACCAACACTAATCCAATTTCCTTTACAGGTCCCTCAAGAAATACCCTTCCACGGTGTGGGCAGCCGGGAAGTGATATCAGCCCTCATACCCGTAACAGCACACGAGACCAAGTTGGTCACTTTCAAATCCTTCCTACACCTCCTAATACCTCTCTTATCTCCATGACTAACCCTCTTCACGTCTCTTTATCACATCGCACCGCTAGGTCAAACAATTCGAGTACGTGGAACGCTATTCCTGGTCTCCTGAAACCACGCTCTAAACTACAGGTAGGAGCTTTTAACGTCCGAACACTGTGCCGAATAGGACAACAGGCTTCCTTAGCTAGGACTTTAGAATCTCGCGCCATCGATGTGTGCTGCGTCTCCGAAACGCGCATACAAGATCCGAGTAGCGTCATTCATTTAACCTCACCATGCCAAAATAAAGAACCGACTCGATTCACACTACGTGTATCTGGAAGCCTTGATTCTGCTTCCCGTGGCCTCGCCGGCGTAGGTATAGCATTGAGTCCCAGAGCAGAACTAGCTCTCTTAGAGTGGATCCCAGTAGACGGCCGTTTGTGCGCTGTCCGACTGAACGGAACAGTAAGAATCCTGAAAGATAGGGACACCTGTCGTTGCCTCTTCGTCATTTCTGCCTATTCTCCCACTGACTGCAGCTCAGATGATGTAAAAGATGAGTTTTACAGAAAGCTTTCCGACCTTCTCCGAAAAGCTAGGCGCTCTGATGTAGTAATAGTGGCCGGTGACTTTAATGCTCAAGTAGGTAAACTAAGTGATAGGGAAAGACACCTGCGTGGATCTTATAGCGTCGTGGCTCAAAGAACAGATAATGGCGACCGTCTGTTGCAGCTATGCTCAGATAATCGCCTGTTCCTTGCAAATACTAACTTTAAGCATAAGGAAAAACATCTTTTAACATGGCGCCCCCCTAATTCGTCCCAACGTTGGACCCAAATAGATCACATCGCTATCAGCCACCGATGGAGGGGCTCGATAGAAGACTGTCGCTCATTCTGGAGCACATGCTTAGATTCAGATCATGCTCTAGTGCGAACGCGTTTTTGCCTGCGTCTTACTGGACGTAAGAAAGACGCTGCAAGGAAGCCTCTTAGGGTCCTGTTTAATGATAGTCAAACTAAGAGTATATTTCAGGAACAATTAGAAAAACAGTTAGGCAGCCATGTATGTGATGCCCACCCTGAGGCAGCATGGAATGATATCCGTAAAGCTGTGGAAACACCAGTGATATCTGCTAGTAAGGTAAACCAGAAGGTTAGGGAGAAACACTGGATCTCAGCAGCATCTATCGCACTGATAGATGTTCGGGAACTCATTCCACCTGGCTCTGAACATAATGAAGAGCGGAGTCAGCGTAAGCGCAAGCTGACAAAAATTCTATGCAATGATCGTGAACAGTGGTGAGTAGCGAAAGCAAGAGAGATGGAAAAGGCGGCGGCAATAGGTAATAGCAGACAGTTGTTCAGACTCGTTAAGGAAACCGGAATTAGGAACCCAACTGTTAGCGAAATAATCTCAGAGAGAGATGGACATGTTATACATTCTCAATCCAGGAGATTGGATCGATGGGTAGAACACTTTAGGGATCAGTTCAACTGGCCTTCAGACACACTTTGGTTTTTCATGATTTCCAGTCAACCTGAATGGCAAGTTAATGTAAGTCCTCCGTCCCTTTACGAAGTTGAAAAAGCCATATGAAATCTGAATCGAGGGAGAGCAGCAGGCCCTGATAGGTTTACTTCTGAGATTTTTAAGGATGGTGGTTCAGTATTAGCAGTGAGAGGGTAAAAGTCCTCTTATGACAATCACAGAGAAATCAGCTTAACTAATATAGTGTCTAAAATATTAGCCTCAATAATACTTCGACGCCTAACCAAAGCTCGTGAAGAGCAGACTAGAGAAAATCAGGCTGGTTTTCGACCTGGACGTGGTTGTATAAATCAGATATTCACACTACGTTAGGTTCTAGAACGCAGACACACATTCAAACGCCACACAATGGTAGCATTTCTCGACCTTAAGGCGGCATTCGACTCTGTTGATCATGAGGTTCTATGGCAGTGTTTGTCACTGAAAGGAGTACCAAAGAAGTACATTAACCTTATAAAGGACCTTACCGCCAGAGACGGAAGTCCGTGAGGTAAGGTGAGGTGTGACATTTTTAGGGTCGACCTTTTCTAACCCCACCCCTCCTTGTGGGAAGGCAGCATCGCTGCAAATGCTGGTTGTCTGAGGGAAACACCTTACTGCTGTCACACTCCTCTACAGTCAGCAGTACGACTTCGCCCTCAGACCTTGAGTTGCTGCTTTCAGTCTTACCGTTCTCCAATTGACCTGCCTAGCATGGTAGAACCTACTGGAACATATGTCCCAGCCAATATAGCTCGGTTGGGTCATCACGATAGGCAAGACCGACCACCGCATCAAGGTAGCAGCTTCGGTCGGGCGAAACTATGGCATCCTAAACCGAATTCTAAGCTAGACAGCTAGTGGAAAATGATAAATAAATGAATCTGATCCACTGTTACGGATTATGGATCAAGTCATTACACGAATCTGTCATAAAATAAACGAGTCCATAGAATGACGTTTTGATTTAATTTAGTCACTCCTACTTTTTACTCAAACTATTTTATGTTAGTAGGCACAGTACAGTGAGTTTACAATATCTGAGCCGAAAAAAATTACATCCTCATTCGTCGACATGTTATTTCTATTTAGTATTCTACACCTAACTTCAGTAACACAGATTCAGTGGTTCTATTGTATGCAAACTACACTTCAAAACTTCTATAGTCAAACGGATACTTGGAAAGGATAATAAATAAGACTATGTCGTTGGTGCTTTCGACATAATTCATGTAAATAGAATCCTGTCTTATGAAAATGCTTTAATAACGTTGAACATTATTTTTACAACCACTCCTAAAATAGTAAATAAAATACACAGAATTATTACAACTTAAATTTATGGAAATCATAACAATGAAAGAAAGAAATTCTATCACGTAAATTCAATAAATTAAATTTAAGATAAAGGCGTTTTTAAGCTTTATAAATGTTCTAAATTTATATAAGTAATGTGATCACTTATCTCTCATTTTTAGTTCAAAAGAAAAATACCCAACCCTTAACACCATGGTAACAAACTTTCGTTTTAGTCATTATGTCGATTAATTTGTTTGTATACTTTATTCACAGATTGAAATGAACTAAGAATAAAATCGTTGATGGGTTTTAGTTGAGATTAGTTCAATATGTAGATGAGACTCATCACAGAGACAACTCAGTTGGGTACCACTGATAACTCGGGTAGATTGGACTGATTTTTTTGTCCTACCAGCTGACAGCTTGACTTTCAGGACACTGGATTACTAACTAGTATTATCGAATTTTAACTTTAAGTTTGGTTACTTAATGATAGGTAGTACCATTCTAGAACAAAACTCATGGCTAGTATTCCATCGTTTTTACTGAATCGAGGTTAATCTGTGACAAATATCATCTATAAAAACCAGATTGCCAGTTGTTTTCTTATTCTCACAAGCGTTTTAAAAATTACATTGTTAGCTGTTTAAGAATTCCCATCACATTAAAACACTGATATTTGAACGAAGAAAATTCTTTTTTAATGAATTGTCTCCAGGTTCTAATGTTATATATTCAAGTTAATGATCCCCAAAGTAACTACGTTTAACTCAAATACATTGTTTACAATCATAACATGTGAATTTAAGATTATTTTTTTAAAGTGAACCAAAATTTTTAATGTCCAAATGACTAATATGCAGTGATAACTTGTATAAGCTTATACGGTAAATGAAATTGTGGAATTAATGATTATCAGAATAAATATGGGTAACACAGGATGAGACAAATAATAATATAATTACAATTCAAATCTAATATTTGGTAGAAGATTATATGATGTATGAAGTTATATGAATTCAGTAAGAGATAATAAAGTGAGGTAAGAGATAACTAAATTAATAGTTGAAATCATGGTTAAGCGCTCGCGCGCGAGACTGATAGGCCCTGGGTTCGAATCCCACGGGGGGCGGGATCTTGGATGCGCACTGCCGAGAAGTCCCATACTAGGACGAAACGGCCATCCAGTGCTTCCAGGTTTTCCATGGTGGTCTAGCCTCAATTGACTCATGATTTTAACTATTGAGATTACTAAAATCTCCACAAAACCCCTTCTGATAATAACTAAACTAATGATGTGTTCAAAAGATTGATAGGGATGTTGAACCAATAGTAAGATATGTGAATAAAAAAATAAGACACTAGCACCGTTGTATACCAGCTCGGTCTAGAACCGAAGCTTTACAGTGTCCAGGGTCGTGGACGTGCACTATTAATGAGTCCCCCATTACGACAGAATGGCTGTCTATTGTTTCCAGGTTTCGAGTGGTGGTCTAGCTTAGATCATTTCATAACTAAAACTATGAAGAGACAAACTAAGAAAGGCCTTGCGTAAATTGGTCAAATTAGGTCATTCTATAATTAATATTAGTTTTGATTCATTGGCCCTTATGTTGGCCAAGGTAAGAGAAGGGGCTAAATATATTTCATGTGCACGCATAGTTCTTGTTTTATAATTTAAATGGCTATCACTTCCACCGTTTGAAGGACTTTAATTCAGACAGACGTTGGCAAAAAATTACTAATGGGATAAATTATTGAGAATGAGTGACATACGCTGGCACTATGACCAGTTTGCACTAAATGGTCTGGTATTGAACTGTTGACTGACTTCACTACACCTTTGCTAAGCCACGCTTCGAGGTGTTCACGAATACGAAAACGTAAATTCCTGGAACTTCGGCCAAAATAAATTATCCACAGGGGTAGTCGAACTGATAAATACATGACGAGTTGGGCATTGTAATCAATTCATCTTTTAGCCTCACTGTCTCCATTAGGAGCGTAGAAAAGATTAGCCGAATTTTCCGGTGCTGAATGTTCCCTGGGTAGCTCTATGTAATCTCTAGATTAGTGTTTCACTGGCTGCATTACCTCTGAACCGTAGGCGAATGAATAGAGATTTCTTATTTGGTGTTTATTCCTCTCCTATTTTAGCCTGGGCATATATTTATATATAAAGTTCGCACGGTATCCATTTTCCCTAAAGGCGTTTAGTTTTTACCCAACTATATCCGTATAACATATAGTATGTATTCTATAACTGAGTTTCTATCAGGTTTCTTTTGTGTTGTAGAAATACGGGGCCAGTGATACTATGTGTGATGCCTCGTTCAGGTACTTTACCTGTCTAAATTCCTTTTTATTAACCCATCAACACTCTCCTCTGATAGAAAATCCTCAAAGGTTATCCTACCTTCACTTTCTTATTCAGATGTAAACTTAATAGGTAGGTGTGCTCCATTGAATTGCCTCAGAACCTTAAGTTGTCATGTTCTTTCAGTGCAGATGATGAAAGTATCATCCATATATCGACAGTATTATTATTCCTTACTGAATTCATATAACTTCATACATCATATAATCTTCTACCAAATATTAGATTTGAATTGTAATTATATTATTATTTGTCTCATCCTATGTTACCCATATTTATTCTGATAATCATTAATTCCACAATTTCATTTACCGTTTAAGCTTGTTCAAGTTAACATTATATGTTAGTCATTCTAATATTAACAATCCCAATCCTATTGTTTCAAAAATTTTGTCAATACTTTTGACTAACGTTTTGTATCTTAATTCCGATTTCAAAACCTGATAATTTAAGGGATATTATCCACTTTCTATTCAGTTAGTAATGATCTAACTAACTAAGACTTGCTGAAGTAAAGATACTAAAATACGTTTATGTAATCTTTTATAACCCTTGTATAAATTGTATCAATAGTCATAATATAAGAGACAATGTGGTCAACGTCTTTACTTACATATTATTGAAGATTGGAAAAAATTGTATCGGCTTCAAAATTCGAACTAATGACCAGTTCTCAAACGTTTGACAAGAACAAGTTGATTAATTTGATATTATATGTCTAAAATTAGTTGAAATAAACCACTCGACTAAAGGTTTCCTACTGTTGATATGAATTACTGAAGTTTTCCATAAACTGATTTCACAGCTTACTCGTTGTTGGACCAGATTCTGTAGAACATTTGGTCATTGAACGACAATTCAGATGTGAACTTGGTGTTTAATCTTGGTGGAGTCCCACCTGTTACAAAATTCTACATCAATAATAACTGTTAATCTAGGAAACTTTCTTGAATCACATCGTAGTAACCAATATTATGGTGTACGACCCACAGTGGTTCCCACATTCTTTCGATGAAAACTATAATATAATTTTACGATTATATTGTTGACTTCCAGTAGCACATTAATCTCTTGTATGCAATTCTACGATGGACTGTTTATGACACATTCGAAGTCGATGAGTTCTCAGATTATGGTTAGATGTTTCCAGTTCTTTAAAGCAGAATTATTTCTTCATAAGCTTTCCCTTAAACCATGAGATTAAAATTACTTTATACCTTTCTTTCTACGAACTTATTCTTTCTCCCTGTATCATATCCTTATTTGGAATGTTCTTTTACTACCATTGAAGTAATGCTTCTATGAATGTGGTGTTCACCTTGTTGTGCTAATAAGGTATGGCAACTTGGAGCGATGCATTTATTTGCCTGGTCCTACGTTGTAGCTGACTGACTAACTGAGTGAAGTCTCAAGTAAATCTTGTCAATTATCGGTTAACTTTGATTAAGTAGAAGGTGAGCAATAGTAGGAATGCGAGAGCACGTTACTATTCACTGAAAAGTTGCTAACTTAATTTATTTACCAACATTCAAGTTATAATTGGAAGTCAGATATCCCGTTCTGATAAAATTATATCCAAATGATGTAACTGAAGTACCTCAGTAAAACAATGAGTAACTGTACGTCATCTAGTGCAACAAATAATAGAATTTGAGAAAATCAACATTTATGAATGTGCAACTACTCCAAATGGAACAATTTCAAAAGAAAAGAAAATATGTATTCTATGTTCCACTGGTAATTAAAATGAACAAATTTCTTCGTGAAACATCGAGATATACCAGTGATTATTTTATAGTTGGAAGAATATTTAGTCTATTTTAGCAAATAACTCGTAACATATTTTCCACTTAATGTTATCGATAGTATCAGAGGGAGAGAGAAATAATTCTGATATATTTTTAACCATATTGCGTGTAGTTGACTTGCATTTTTTCTAATATATGATAATTATTATTACGCTTAATTGGTTTTTGCTTTTATGTGATACGTTAAGTAGGTAGTTATCTTTACTCTTTTATTTTACAGACATTGAATGCCTTCATTCAGACTACGGTAAATCAGTTTTGGATAAAGCTTTACAAAAGTAAGCTAATAATAACATAGTGTCATTAGGCTGAATAGGGTATCATTTTCCTTACAAAAATTATCATTGTAAACTAGTTATATTCTTTATTGATTCAGTTTAACGGAAATTTTCCTAGCAGCCACTATATTATGAAATTCTGACAAATATTGGCAGCTCATTGTATAGATGTTTTTCTCATCTTCTTTGAGATCATTTTTTCATAAGCCAAAAATATTTTTTATGCGCCGCTGATAAAGTCAAGTACTTGAAATATGTTTCAATGGAGTATGATTTTTCATCATCAAATAAAACCCAAAGAATTGCTTTTAAAAACGATTCTTCGCAAAAATACGATTGTCTACCAAGCTATTGATGACAACTATGATGAACAATAATAGATGGTTAATGTCGACAAACAAGTATTGTTCTTGAAGCTATAACTTAGTGGTGTTAAATTAAATGCTTTCAACAATCAGCTACAAATTTACTGCAAAAATATAACAGACTAATTGTTTTTCTGTCTTAAGTAATTCGCTTTGGAAAGTTAAAACACGCATTTCGTCCTATTTGGGACTCGTCAGCTGGATGTACCTGCATCTCAGAGCTGGTGTTCACTCTAAGAGTCAAACTCAGTACCATTCGCTTCAAAAGCCATCGCGTTATCCACTTAGCTACTGAGTCCTGATAGCCATTCGCTTGTGCATTCTGGATTCCACTGCTAGCCACTATCCATCTTTGCTTATAATGTTTATTAGTTTTTTTGAAAATGTAATCAATCAGGTATTAACTGTTTATTCTAACTTTAGCTGTTCTCTATTGGATTTTGAGTGTAAATGCTATTGAACTGTCTTTCCGACATATGGTTTGTAATAATTTGATTCTCCTTGTGAAGTATTATTAGACCTGTATATTAACAAAACTACGATATTTATGTAACATGAAAATTTAGTAACACAAGGGCAAAACAAGAGGTTTCTTAAGACAAGGGATTAATGATAAAAGTTAGACATGTTTAAAGGAAGCTTTCGGCACCATCAGTAATAATACATAATACATACACAATAAATATAAACTGATTATTATTATTATTATTTGTTTACAGTTTTTCGCTTGCTTTGTTTTCTTTTATAGACCATATCGTCGCTTACGTACGTTATTTTCAAATAATACAGAAGAACAAGCTTTAAATTTACTTGAAAATATGATTCAATTGAATCCAGAGAAACGCTTCACTGTTGAACAAGCATTAAATCATAGTTACGTGGAAAAGTAAGTATCAGGCATTGATTAATTCTCTTGACTACTTCATCCAATTGATATACTTTAAAAATTTACTATATCTCTTTTTTAATAGGTTTGAAAGTTCCAGATCTGACTTTGTGATATAGCCCCCAAATGTTTCAGACTATGGGTTATATATATTTTTTTAATTCATCCATGTAATTTGAAATGATTCCAAGTTTAGATTGATTTATTTCATTTGACTATAATGAAAACCAACTAATATAAAACATTTGTTTAGTACTATCTAATTTTAAGTGGTTTTCCAGTAGTAAAAATTATAAAATATAAATGTACAAATTAGATGATTCAGTGTTCATTTGTTTCATGCTCTCTCTCTCTCTCCATACATATGTTTATATATACGCAACTTCATCAAACAGCTTTCGTGATCCTTCATCTGAAATCGTATTGAAGCATCCAGTTACCCCAATTCTAAGAGATGACAAACAGTTAAGCGTATCAGATTATCGTCAAAAATTATATGAGGTAATTCAAACAACGATTATTCTTTATCTATATTCTGTAATAATAATTAACATGGAGTTTTTAATTTATTAGATCGAAAATTTGTTGTACATTTTTAAGTACTCATAAATACTTATGAGTAACTGTTTTCTGTTTAAATTACCTTCTGTAGTTGTCACAAACTAATCATTTATTAAAATTGTGTCAAATGAAGGAAAAAAAACTGTGTACTTGGTTGTTTAAACTGAGATTTTGAGCTAATTGTGTCCAAATCAGTGCTTTAGAGGTTTTTATAGTAAACATGGGATTTCAATGTTATCTATTTGATTTCGAAATGGTATTATTACTAAAAAGCTTCAGATTTGTTTGTGAAGACATACTATCAATGGTAAAATAATCATTATTAGTGCTATGCGGAAAATAAAAGATATTTCCCTCTATAGATATCGTTACAGTGGTGCTTGAAGGCTAAACGACATAAGTGAATCCACTTGAAATGTATTAAATCCACTCAGTTACAGTTATTTTACATTCAGACCTAAAACAACAATTTGTCAATTATTCAAACCTTATGTACATTGTATCGAATCGCATTATCTAAACTTCTCTTAATTGTTTTCTTACCGTAAGGTATATTTCTTCTCGTTTATTATCACGAATGCTATCAATGTTTATAGATGTAATTTTATTTGAGAATATTTGATTATGTATAAACGACATGAAAGAAATTTCTAATAATGAGTCTTGAGGCAATCAGAATTAATATTAGACTTACAACCTTCTGATCCTTGTTTACATTTCTACATTTCATTTATAATAGCTGTAATTTTTATTGGGCATAACCAACCAATGAATGAATTCGGTAGATTGCCCATCAGAAAATTTAGTAATCCGAACGACGATAAATCAGTTATGTGTTATGTTATGTTATGTGTTACGATTAGTAATCAGATTTATTTGTCAAATACAATTCTATTTTCTGTAGATTATAGTGGAAAAGAAAGCTCAACATAAAATGCGAAAAATGCTGCGCTCAGTTGAACTGAATGAAAACAAAACAACTGGAAATTCATTGGTTCGTTCATTTTTTGGTTCCGAATGTTTTCTCAAGCGAGTTGCTTTTCTATTCTTACAATTAGCTCAGTGCTCTGGAGGTTAGGCGTTCGTGTGTAAGACCGAAGGTCCTGAGTCAGAATCCTGCGAACAGGATCGTGGATGCGCACTGCTGAGGAGTCCCATACTAGGACGAAACGGCCATCCAGTGCTTCCAGGTTTTCCATGGTGATCTCATGAAAATTTTTAGTTAATAATGCTGTGAGCATGTTATATAATCCTTAAAAACGGTAATAAAAGCGTTCTCTTAAATACTGGATTTGATCGTTAGAAGTACTGACATTTAATTAATATGAGCAGTTAGTTTTAATAGAGGAACGGAGAACTTGAAGAAAAACGAGCTATTTTTAAATTTATACAGATAAAGCCTAATAAACTATGGACCGGATCACTAATACTTCAAACAGGTAATAGCTTATAATTGCTAAATATTTTCTAGTTACATTATTTCTAACTCATCAATAGTGCCTGTCCAATCCGGAACATAACAGCTATTCACTTTTTTTCAATGATTTTCTTCGGTCTAATCAACGAAAAACATATTCATTTGATGCAGATCTCACCAGAAAATACCTTTGCAAATTTTCTGGTACGATTAGCAGAGACGAATAGCCAGTGACCTGTATAGTAATTCTAGTTCTTTAAAAAATAACTCATCCATTTATTGTGTTTATATAAACTTGAACTGTTTTATGGAAATAACCAGAAAACTGAGTCTAAATTCAATATAACTAATTACTCAAGGTTGGAAAACATTAAAACTATAAAAACAACATTATTGTCATGTTATATTTTATTTTGTATATGATACTTTGTAAGTTTTCAAATCATCTGATATTCTTCACTCTCTGGTTAGGCTTCACAGAAAGAATTGACTTATGGAAATACTTTTGAAAACAAATCCAAAACCGATCTGATAAATCAAAATATCAATAAAGTTGGCTGTCACGATCCAAAACTAAGTGAGTTTTGTTTTTTAAAGGAAAGGGATTAAAAACTATTTTGCTTGGATTAAATTTAAATTTAATTGATTTATATTAACTGTTTCTGAATGGTATATTAAGTTTAGTAAGAAATACTGAAATCTAAACTTCGTAAATTTTCGGCAAGCTCTATTGGCACTCTGTTAACTCGATGGCAAATCTTGGAAATCACAAGACAAGAATTTTATTTGTTTGATTACTCAGTCAGAAATATTATAGATGAGCCTTTTACCTATCAATCAACTTTACTGTAAGGGCATAATATGTACAGAGATTGTTTATCGTAAATTTCTTCTGAAATTTATAGTTTACCGTCATTAGTCCTCCTATTTCAAACATACTAAGCCGTTATCAGCATGAAAACTGGTAGAAATACTGGCGAATACCTTCCTCAAGTTGTTCACTAAACAGTGGGTTATTAAAATTACTTTTACAGTAAATGAACTATATGTTATGTGATTTGAAAACTTTCTACATTTTCAAAGATTGTTTGACCAAATACCTTTATATGAAGAACATGAATTGTAGCACTAGTGTATCTATCTGAAATGAACTTCGAAAGCCACAACCTAAAAGTAAGAGGTTCGTTCAATCAAGCTGAATATAAGATGTCGACATAGTATTTTACATAATGGTGCATACGATCATATAAATGTCTCATGTAATTACACTCAGAACAGCACAAGAAATAAAAATTATTTTTTTGCAATTGAGGTGTGGATTAAATCTATTCCTTTTTCTTAGTAATATATGCATTTGCAAAGACCAATAATTTTCGAAACTCGAACAGTAAAGCGACTAAAACTAGAAATGCTTCAAGTTTGTTTCGTAATGTACTGACCAAATGTTCATCTTTCACCATACCTGAAGATATAGTCATATTCCTGATTCACTATACAGACTTATCTAACCCAAAGGTGGAATTTATACCGATTAATTGATACCTGACTTTGAACGAAGTCTTTAATAAATATTATGTCGTATTTGAAACACTTTTTTTCATTAAAGGGCTTGTACAGAACCATTACCTAAGGTAAGAACTGGCAGTCACTAAGGTAGTCTGCCATATTCAGTTGTGGTAACTTGGTTATAAACATACTAATGGAGGTAACTCTACCTTTAACGGTGAAGTTACTGAGTTGTCAACCTTCAGTTCAATGTTTTAGATCTACTTTAAATGCAGTGAAATGATCAGCAAGTTGCTATTATAAGTTGCAATATAATAGATGTATCCATTAAACCTGTCATCAAAATGATTTATAATCGAAACTAGTGTCAAGTAATATTTCCTAGATTATTATTTCTTTAACCAAGAACCATTATCTTCCAATTGACGAATATTTTAACATATGTTTTGTAGTTGAAGTGTATTGTAGAACCATTTGGAATAAATGAATTAATCAAAATACAAATGAGAAAGTTATACATCAACTCGATGAAATCTTAACTAATATTAATGAAAACACTGCATAGTCATTATCTGAATAAATAAATAAATAAAGTAGATAATATCTCATAGAATTCAATTAAGCTGGACTTACAGTGTCAAACTAACCAATAACAATAATTCTCTGTAACCTAATCAAGTTATTAATATTTCTTGTCTTCATTTACTTCTATTCAACGTTTTATGTTGCATGACTACATTTTTATATCAGGTAATACCAACCAACAATATAAACCAACTGAAACAGTAAATCAATATCAATGTCGCTCTGATTTAAATGAGACGAAATCTCTGTCAGATTCATATAATTCGCAAAATCAAGGTAGCACAAATATTAATCACAATGTATCAATCTCATCACAGGTGAATCATATAAAACATTTACACAGCAATAGTACATTAGAAAATGAACACACTTCTCAATTCAATGTATCTAATCAGGTGATTTCAACTTTTTTATATTGTGTATGAGCATTCTGATTCTTCATTAGTGTTATGAACCATTTGAAATTAGTATTCATTTAACATTATTTTCTCTTTAATTCGTGGGACGATACTCAAGATTGATGGTGACGTCAAAGTTAATTCATTGGATTGTTTTTATTTGTTTTTATATACAATTCATCAAATGATTCTTCTGCAATATGTTCTTGAAAATCCCATAAGTTCAAAGCTACATATACATAACCTTCAGCTTTTACTCTCTTCAAATGATGATGGTTTTTAAGGGAAACTATATTATTTAGCTACAACCAACTTTGCAAGATTTTGACACAATAATTCGATAATGATCAATTTAACTAAACGTAATTTAGTAGCTCGCAAGACAGCGTTTTTCTCCCAATTCATTTGCCGACATGATCTGTCTAGCTATGTTTTGCTAAAACAATCCTATTCTAAAGAATAAATATGAAGAAAGACTTAAATACAGAATATGTGTTTCGTTTTTATTAAGTGAATACCGCTTGTGGATAAACAAACCCGAGAATGAGGTATACAACTTTTATGTTAATTGAAACTCTTTTCAGTAATAGAAAGGTAATATTAATAAATAGCAGTGCCTCAACTTATTCCAATTTTCAATGGCTTGTTTATTCCGTGTAACCGAAATCCACATCTGTTTCTATAATTAAGGCGAGCACAAACTCCAATCTAACGAACAATAACATATCTGGCGAATTACGTAGACGAGTAACGATACCTACCTCATCTGTCAGTTCACAAAAATATAAACATGAGTTCTATTTAAACTCAGAGAGCCTAAATAACACTCAGATTATGAAAACCAGTATGAGTAAGGAAGCAAATAACCCAGTTATCCTTCGGGGAAACAGGAATACAAATTTAGGAAGAAATTCTCAACACGTAAGTTCATTTCCTTTACTTATATGGACAATTATTTTTAACTACTGTCAATATAATAAGTAGTATAAAATAAAAGTGTAAAGTATCCAGTGATCCATCTTTGACGTTTAATACTGAGTTTCCTGGTACGTATTTCTCAGTAGTTCTATACACGACATTCCCATAACTTAAATTTATACTAGAAATATATCAATTAAATAAATATATTACTGATTACTGTAGGTGCTTGTATAGATTGTTGGATTTTGTGGACTACATCACGCACTAATCCAATGAGAACAAGGAAGCACTGGTAATTTATTTCTTCGTAATACAAGACTGCTCAGCATTGCCTATGTAATGTCCCGTCGGAGATTGAACAAAGGACGTTCAGGTATCACGAAGGGCTTTTAACCACTAGACCGTTAGCCCGGCACCTATTGGTTAGCATGTTTGACTTTGTTCAATTCGTAGTATTACACAACCGTCTTTCAATGTCAACGTTAGCTACTAGATACTGGGTCAGTGGTCTTGAATCTAACAGTTCTCGATGTAACCCAAGGGCCCTGGGTTCGATCCTTAGTAGGCCTACGGATCCACACTCCTGAAGGTTTCCATACTAGAATGGTACGGCGGACCAGTAATCTCTCGTTTGCAGTAGATGCAGTCTGGAAAATATATATTGCTCTTAAATTATAAAAATGGTTGATCTGTTTCGGAATTTTCTGTTCTGTGTTGTCAAACTTACTGTTTACATTGTCTTACGATTACAAAAATAGACTACAAATCTTACTTCTAACTCTTAATATGGTGAACTTTTCCCAGTATTAATGGAACGGATCATCTTTGTTATTTTGTAACTGATTGAGCTTCGCTGATAAACTGTATTACTGACTCATAATAACTCTGATAAGCTAGTTATTTCTGTTCATGAAACAAATAGAAATTATACGGTGAAATAATGCAGAGTGGTTAAATTTCCTAGGTTACTCAACGTTACGTAAATTTAATTATATATTTAAGGTCTCTCAATTTATATTAATAATTCGTCACTATCTGAATAATGATTAGATGACATACATTTTGGATTATTATAGGTATCAGTAGATTATATTCAAAATACCTGATCATTAGTCACATTGAATCATAATTTAACTAAAGCATCGAAATGTCAGCTATTATATTCCGTGTTCATAATGAAACATCAGCGCATACAACCTGATAATGCAGTATTCTGTTGCGCTTTTTTTCAAAGTCTACTTCGAGAGCTTGTTTATTACACGATTTAAATTAATCCTACTTTCCTACAAACATCCACCAAGAGTACTGACATAATAGCTGTGTAAAGTAGTCTATACAAAGTTTTTTAGTTGTTAATAAATTTATTTTTTGTGATATCCAAATGGGTCGTTTTCATAAGCATGGTTAAAGGCAGTTAGCAGGAAATCATAAACCGAAGTTTTGTACCAGTTGGCAATCCTAATCTAAACTTATTCCCACCCTTCAAAAAGCTGAATATACCGACGGGATTTGAAACTGTATGACAAAATGTCGTAACTAGGGTCGTTACTAACACATGATTTGGGCCCCAACTAAACAGGATTCGACCAGAATGAGACAATACAACATTTGTTAATACAAAGTGTTTAGTCGATGTACACTTGAAAGCGTTACGAAATAACATTGTAAATAAACCCTCATCATAAAACCTATAGACAACAGTAACCATTTTTTTGAAAATCTAATAATTTAGCTCTTAATAATTTATATTAAAATCTCAGAAATCTAAATTGCGCCCTGAAGTAAGCCACATATATTTCTGTGAACACCGAAATCTAAGAAAGACAATGAATTATAATGATTCATCAGTACCTAAAGAGGGAAAGGTAATTGACTGATGTCTATAACACTAGTCAATTATACTTCACGCAAACGAATAATATCTAATATCTAATTGGGGTAAAACAATTCGGTACATAACTTGAATTAGTTTATGTGAACTTTCAATGGCCTATGTCTTGTGTATCATGTATTATTTTATTCTACAAATTAATATATTAACAACTACAAGTATATATATAGACAGAAATGTAACTATTTAATATTCATACAAATTACAATTTGTTTTAATTTTCAAAGGAATAGAATAATTATTTTTCTTTACCAACACCGTTATCATAGTCAACAACACTGCCATGTTTTATTCATAACGAATCAATTAGTTATTAGTGAACGGACGCAAATAAAATAACTACTATTTACCATATGTTGCAAATAGTGTTACATTTTGAACTGTGCTTAAATCAATACTGTTCATTTAATAACCGGTTATACACATTATTTCCAAACACGCTTACAATACACATATATGTGTGTAATATCAGAGTAGGGAATAGCAGGGAAATATGGATAATTGTTTGATTTCAGTCAGAATAAGCAATAATGATGGGAAGGTTGTGTTTCAGATTCTAGAATAAAAACAAATTAGAGTCTTGTAACATTATCACCTTATCAGAAGGAATGAGTATATCCATACTTGCAAACATTTTTGAAGAAATAATTATGCAGCAGGCAACTAAATAAATGTGATTTTATCTTGAAAACCCAGGCAATTAACTAAACAAATGGAAATAACCTACTATTAATAGGTTATATTATTACATGTAGAACAAAGCATTCTTTTACGTGTGTTGTTTGGGAGCAGGCAGTGAATTTATACAATGGTGAGTGCCAATAAATAGAAAGTCTAAAACCTAAATTTTAAATTAGTTTGTAATCATCAGGGTTTATCTGTAACCTCACAGAAGTTTATAAATAGTTTAAGAAATCGAGTGGATATCATTCAACTTCATCAGTGTTATTTGCAACTATCTGAGTAACTTCTATAAATTATTTTTCACAAAAAAGCGTTACGAATAGATATATTTCATAAAACTGTCAACTGACATTCATTGATTGTAACCACATAATGATTTTTTAGCTAAAAACCTTCATACTTTCCCTGTATCATTATTGAAATGAATCTACACAACACGATATTTATTGATGATTTTGAATTGACCAAATTTGTACTACCTACTACCGAAGTCTCTCAGATCAAGCTTAAATTTTGGTCAGAAGACAAAGCGACTAGACATTTAGGCACGCCTTTTTGATGTTTTGTGGTTGAGAGTAGTCAGAAGGAAGTCGTGGACCTAAGTTTTGTTACGTCTGAGACTCAATAACCATCTTGAAGGCGTTCACCTCTCTAAACTAAGTGAAACAGCAGATCAAATCATTTAATCTATCCATCATACCACAAAATTGATCATTGGAAATGGATCAATACGTAAAACTAGACAATGTAAATTTGTCTAATATACAACGATCAATTAGGATTAATATCTGAATCTTAGAGAATAGCTGATTTCTAATTGCGACACCAAGTAGTGGGGTTTCGAACCGACGGCTGTTATCAGTCCCTCAAACGTTTTCGATATTTTTTAGTGATCATCTGTCAGCACAAAACCGTGACTCCTAAACGATAAGTTTTCAACAACTACCATGTATCATATAACTGTTTTAGTCTATCAATATTTGGAAGCTTTTCTGGCGAGGTGCACTATGAAATTTGTTAACAGTTTATTAGCAGCTTCAACATGGTTTTGAATAATAACAGAACCACTAGATGTAGTCACCACCTCGTACAGTAATATAATCAGTAATTTCACAATAGTTATGACTAGTATTAATAAAGAAGAGAACAGGATCCTATAGTAATTTACTGAACTTTACGTATAGCATTGAAAAGCCAAAGTTTTATTGATTCTTTAAAAATGAACAGAATGTTGCCTGATAAATTTTAAAATTATAGCAGCTAAGTGAAGCAAACAAACGAAAGACTGTTCAGAGAATAGAATTTTCGCTCGATGAATAGTAGTAGTATTTGTAGTTGACTTTGACATATCATAGCCTATATTAAAATATAAAGGTAGAGGTATGCTACTAGAGGTAATCAAACGTTCAAGGATTGAGCTATTGACCGATTTCTGTTCAACTTAGATAGCTAAGGAGGGTGGAGCTCAGAAATCCATTCGAAAGCTTCACACCAATATAAATTCCTCTACAAAAATAAGTGAATTGAATTACACACATTAAGGTAGCTCAAGTTGGTAGCTTATCTGTGATCTTTCGGATAAACAATTTAGATCTCTACTGAATAAAAGTGGTATGAATTCTTTTCGTCGTTAATTATGTGAATGCGTGAGGTCGAAACTGTTTCTAGTTAATTAAATCTTTTAGAAAATAAATTATTTAATAAGTTGAGCAAACCATTTCCATAATACTGATTACTAAACAACGATCCCTTTTACTACATAAATAAAGCAATGAGGAATCTAATATCTAGAGTAATTTGGAAATTCTTGTCAATTTGTATGTGGATTTTGTATTAATGACCTTTATAAACAAAAAAAATTCACTGTCAAAACTTTGTCACTATTGTTTCTAACCTTGGCGGTTTCAGATATTGAATGGCATACTATTTTTTTTCAAATTTTTCTATGGATTCGTCCTTTATCGTTTTTCCTAATAGTGTTTCGTACTTTTAAATTCCCCTATTTTACTCTCCCTTTTTGAAGTATACTTTTCTAACTTCGTTTTCGATTATAAGCATATTCGTTACCCCTAATTATGTGCTGTATATCCTGTTAATCTTTATTTAATATATTGATGTAGTAAAACAACTTGGGTCTATGCTCGTTTGCACCTGTATTATTTATGACCGACAGACTAAATGATGTAATTTTTCTCTCAACTTGACATAAGGTGAAAATTCATTAAGAATCAAGATGCACTGAGAGGTTATTTTAGTCCCTCTTTCGAGACTATGAGAAACACAATCCGGAACCATAATTTCTTTTTTCTATGGAGGTCTTATCGTCCAGTCTTCTAGTCTAAACTCGATATTGACTGGATGAAATAAAATGCTCATTGTTAATTGTTATTATCACTTCTGAAGTGATTATTGTACAAATTTCACG